TTTTCCTGTAATCTTGATCTTCATGCACAATCCAGTCTAGTACACACAGTGGAGCTGCTCCTCTGAATTCTTTCCGCTGTGCTGTGTAGCTAGATGTCATGGGGTAGAGGAAGTAAATGTTTTCTAGAAGTTAGTTTTTTTTAGAGCAATCAGTTAAGATGTGGTAGAGTATCAGGGAAGGAGCACTGGGCCTGGCTTCCCCAGAAATAATGGGGAACCACATCTGCTGCCTACCTTTACTCTGCCAAGTTTGTGCTTCATGGTGTTCCTCACAATCTGAGATTATATTACTTACTGTTTTGCATTTTTACTAGCTTTCTTCCTTGTTAGAATAACTGTGCTCTGGGAGCAGGGACATTTTATTGTATTCACTATTGTGCTTCCAAGCTCAGGTCAGCATCCACCACATAGTAAGTGGTCAGTACACAGCCAGTGAATGAATGAAGAATGAATGAATGAATGAATGAATGAATGAATGAATGAATGAATGAATGAATGAATGAATACACAGCAGGGTGCATACCCCTTTGAGCTCTTTGAAGCCTGGTTCTGTCATTAGTAACAGTTACAACAATAGCTTCCCTGTCAGTAACTGGCTCCATACTGGGTCTTTTACTTGTGTTATTTCATACTTTTCAAGTCCTCCATGAGAGGTATTACCGTTCCTATACCATAAATGCAGAGCAGACACTCACAAAGATTCAAGAAGTTGGCCAAGGTCATGACTGCCTCTCGGGTGTATAGGTCTATACTCTGCCAAACAAACTCTCTTTATTTTCTGCCTTCAATTTCTTTCCACCTCCCTCAACCATCTGGGTCAACACTCCCTATCACTGCACCTCTCCTCCAGCCTGACGATCAGACACTTGAGCCACATTTCTCACTGTACCTCATGTCTGCTTTTCGCCAGCCTCCAGGTTTTTCCTGCATGCACAAGTGTTAGCAGCTTTCTCCTGGTTTCTGCCCTTCTCAGTCTTGCACCTCATCCCCGGCCAGTGCACCCTCTGCTCAGATGGCCTCACAGCCACAGGTGCCTCACTCGGCACACTGTGCTTTCTACTGAGGGGGGAAGGGGTTGAATTCCTCCACTTCACTTCCTAAACTGACCTAGCACAGTAACTCTCATATTTCCAGCCATCTTATTTCCTCGGAGAAGGAAGGCTTCCTGCCCCACATTAGCTTCCCCTGGGACCACACCACACCCGGTGACTGCCTTTGGCTTCAGCATCTTCTGTTGGTTCCCTGAGAATTCATCCTCTTGAAAAGTGGTCGTGTTCAAACACCATTTAGTTTGGGGACTCTCAGCTACTTCCCTCAGTTTTACTTGCCCCAGCCCTTCAAACAGAGGCTAGAGTTGGCCTCTGTCATCCCTCCCTCTGAGGTTTCTTGAGAGAATCTTGGTTCCTCCATGTCCTCACTGTCGTTCTGTTAGTGTACTTCTTTCATTCCAAAAGATTCCTAACCTACTTCTTCTGGAGGCCTTGAGATACATTGGTGAATAGGAGGAAGGCATCTGGCATTGTGGCCTTGGCCCACTAACAGCTTTCTCCATCCACCTCTCTTCAAACTCATTATTTAGCTTTCCCAAGCCTCAGGCTTCTGGTCCTATTCAGTGCCTTTTGCACTGTGACCACTTCCTCATTTTATGATCTTTTGCCTGGTCCC